GCTCTGAGTGCTGACCCGTGAGGTGACGCTGCTGGGAGCCCTTGTGTGTTCTGTCATCTCCCAAGGGGCCTGGCCAGCCAGTGCCAGCACTGCGCTCATCGGAGGACGATGCCCAGCAGCATCCCTCAAATACCCCGATGCCCACACAGGACTCTTCCTAACACATGGGCAAGCTCCCTTCTACCTGAGAAAATGACACACTTCGCTTCTTGTTTTTGTGATTAAACACATACATAGCAAGATTTGTGAGCTTGCGGGGCTGGTTGGAAGGCCCCTCATCCAGCTAATTGGACGTTGCAGCACCATGTTTCCAGGAATGAACAGGTCCAGCCAGAAGAGAAGATGGCTGGGTGGTGGTTGGGGGGGCTGAAGGGGGGGACAGTGTTTTACTACTGGTTGTTGTCATCCTCACACCAGGCACTGAGCTTGTGTCTCCATGGGTGGCTCCTGGCTGTAAAGTCTGGCTCCTGCCTCCCTTTGAATGTAGTATAGCTCAAGGTGTGTTCCTAGAGAAATGCAAGGATTTGTTGGTTTTGTGTGTTTTCTAACAATCCCTGCCTGATGTTGATGGGAGAATATGGAGAGCAGCTTCCCAAAAGCTGGCTATCCAGTATGTGGATCACGGAGATCTCATCTTTCTTTCACTACTGCTGTTCATCTTCAGGTTTTGTTTTCATGGTGTGATTTGCAGATCCTCCATGAGCTGGTCGTATCGGGTGCCTGGCAAGTCTTGTGTGCAGCCCTTTGGGCCGTATTCTTTTGGCCACAATGTTTCCTGCTCTTGAGGAGTTTATGGCCCATATTGGGAGTGGGCAGTGGAAGGGGGGCGCCGACTGACATGAGAGCATTAGCTAGGCAATCAGAAGACCTGAGTTCTGGGATCAGCTTTGCCACTTAGCTCACCAGTGTGACCCCTGACAAGGCCCACTTCTTCTTTGGCCCTCAGTCTCCCCATCTGTATAATGGATAGATTGGCTCTTCCTTCAGCTCTGTTATCCTAGATTACTCTGTCCTCTTTGTTTTTGTTTTTTGTTTTTTTTTTAATCATTTTCTCACGGGATTCTGACATGGTAGACATTCAACCAGCCTGGATGCTGGCCATTGTTTTGAGTTTTATAGATGCCTAGTCCTTTTTCTGAGACATTCTTCCCCATGCTTTATAGATTTCATCTCTTTGCTTTGGAGTCAATTCTCTCACTCATTTATTCCTTAAAGCTCAGTGGTCCTAAGTGCTGTCATTACAGCTGTCCTCCGACGAGCATCCCCTGTGGGCCATCACTGTGGCTGTCACTGCCGTGTACCCATCTGACCTCATCGTCAGAAGAGCCTTTCAGCATAATGCCCCCACCCCTGCCATATAGTTCCCACAGAGAGAGGACAACAGCAGGGACCAGGGGCCAGAGGAACGGGGACCTTTAAGAGAATCTTACCGTAATCAATTCCAGCCTTCCTGGTAAGCATCTTTCTCTTTCCAGCAGTGACATTTGCAACTTGGCATCTTACTTTATAATTACATAAAGAATAACCGTCTGGACAGATGCCCGCCCGACACCACAGGTTGCACGGAGGGCTGTCAGCTCTCAGAATAGAAGGGAGTGTCCTCCGGCCTCAGCCTGAAAGGTAGTAACTGGGCCAGTCCTTTCATGTTGGTGGGAAGCAGTCCGTTCCTTCCTAGCCAGTTCACCTCATTCGGTGAGGTCCCTCTTGAAAGAAGTATCAGCACCTTTTGCAGAATAAGGTACTTTATGAATGAGGAGTTTTAAAACTCTAAAAGCATCTCGAATTCCTGTGTCTTAGGGCTGCATGTGACCTTTTCCAGGTTCACTCCCAGCCAGTTCCTAGAGAGCAGGGAAGGTGCTCAGATTTATTGACGGGCTTTTTAAGACAAGGCCAGGGCTCTGCCCAAATGTAGGAGCTGGGTCTGTTCAGGAGACCACTCATGTCTCTGAGCTCTGCCCTCCCAGCCCATTCCCGCCCTCAAGAAGCACTCTCTCTGGCCAAGGTGGTGAGGCCAGTACACAAGGTGTCAGTGCCCATGACCTTGACCAGGGCCTGTCCTGGTGGGGCAGGGAAGGAGGCATTCGGGCTGTTCCTCGTAGAGTAGGTAGGGTGTATGTGACCTTGAAAGCCCAGGGAGTACACATGGCACACATGGTAGGCTTTCGAGGAAGGTGGCCGGCTGACTAACTGCCGTCCCCGCCGCTGGGAGTTCCCTTAGCTGCAGCGAAACTGCTTGCCTGTAGAGGACTTCCCTCAAATTCCACATCTGGCCAGCTTGTTGCTCTGCTTTTTGCCTGTCGAGGCCCTTGGCACTTGTGTGGGCCCCCGTGCCGGTGGCAGGGGTGCCAGACCTACCTCCCAGGAGCTTCTCTCTGATCAGAGGAGAATCAGGGTCTGCTGGAAAGGGCGTGCTGGGCTTTCACGTGAACTGACCAAGGTTCAGATCCCAGCTCTAGCACTTATTTGTTGTAGGACCTCGGGCTATAGTTTTGAACTTTTCTAAACCTGTTTCTTCATTGGGACGTAGGAATAACTCAATCTATTGGGTGGTTAGGAGAAATAAGCTTGTGCCTATGCAATGTTGGGTACTTCAAAACCACTCACAGAAAGGGTGCTTCCCTGTGGCTGTCATTGGTGTCATTGAAATACCCCCTGAGGATGACATTTCCCCATCTTCCGTAGCCCTGTCAATACCACAGAAGTACCACCATACATCCTCGAGGCCTCCCCATCTCTTGGCCAAATGCCTTTGTCCCCCTCCATCCCCTTCATCGACAGAACCTGTGATAGATGATGTGCTTTCTCTCCTTGGGATGATGATGATGATGCCCTCCTGTCCCTGTCTCATTAGTACTCTGCTCTACTATGTGAAGGAGCCACCTGAGACCCTGGATGTGGGAGCTTGGGGCACAGGAGGCGGCCAGAAAGAAAAAAATGGCTGGGGGGGGGGCTGCTGTGGGGCCTCCCCACCATGACTTCTTGATGGCTATAACTCTCACTCCTAGACATTCTCTCCTGGGACATGGTGTTCTTCTCTAAGGTCACATCGGGTTCCTTCTCTCTGTTCCCCAGGGCCACTTCTGAGAGCATCAGGTACCCTGAGGCTCTGCCCTGTGGCTTGTCCCTACTCTCCACTCCTGGTGGAGGGCAGCTTTCTGGGAGATAGTGAAGGCACCACAATGGCTTCCTGACCCCCGGACTCCCGAGTCATCACCTTTCCTGGCTTCTTGGTTGGGATGGTTGGCATTGCTGTTCTTAGTGCAGGAGGGCGAGCAGCAGTTTTACTCACTGGCGTGTGGGGGTGGGCAGTGTGAAGCCAGGTGACAGCCGTGTCCACATGGCTAGGTGAGCCCGTTTTCCTGCACCCCCTTCCTGTAGGGCCAGAGAAGCCCCTCACTTCCCTCTGGCCTGGGCTGCTGGGTTCTCACCTAGTGTAACTAACTTTTTTTTTTTTTTCCAAAACACTCATGTCGGAAGTCAACTAATGTTCTTTTTCTGTGCCACAAAGGAAAAGAGAACAAGAACAAACGAATCAGTTTTTCTGGAATCATAAGCTGTGATTTCTTCATAAACGAAATTAGAGAGTGCCTATTGAATTCCACAAACATTCCTGAGTGTTTACCGACGGCCGAGGCCTGCAGTATGAGTGGGTGGATGCCGAGATGCCAAAGATAGGGTCCCTGTCTTCAGAGGGCTTCCCTGGACAGCCTGTCCTCAGACAGCCTCGCGCCCCGGGGAGAGCCTGATGTTGGGTGTCGGTGGGTGTCGCTCTGCCTCAGCTGTCCACCCCTGCCCAGATGTCAAGACCCAGCCCACGCCTCCCTCCTTCACGAAGTCTCCCCTGACTGCCTCAGGCGTCGGTGAATCCCCCACTCTCCAAACCCTAGATTCCTGCAGTGCTCTGCAGCCTGAATACAAGGTGTTTCCCATCTGTCCTCTCATCTTCCTGGCATCACAGGCTCATGGGGCCCATCGTATCACCCCCACTGTAACAGATGGGACAGCTAAGGTTTAGAGAAGTCATCTTCCCAGGGTCACAGCGTCAAGCAGCAGCAAAACTGGAACTTGCACTTGCATGTCCCGCTTCCCACCTTGGGCCTCCTCCTTAGTGCAGAGCACTTTCTCTCCCGCATCATTTGACCCCTGAGCAGCCCCTCCCATGTCATGCACTTAGTTCCTCCCTTCTTGGTTTCAGTCACCTGTGTGTCAGTCCTGGTGGGGGCAGGGCAGGGGCCCGGGCAGCTGGGTCTGGTCCCCTGCTGCCACTGCCACATAGGAGCTGACTCAGGCTTGGGCGGGGTGGGGGGTGCAGAGGAGGAGAGAATGGAGCCGGGGGCCCCCCTCCTCCCTCCTCCCTCCTCGCCCTGAGTCATCTGGAGGCAGCGGAAGCAACCAGCACTTATGTGCCAGGTAATTGTGAGACTCGGTTTGTCTAATTATAGCTCATTTTGTCTCTCAGACAGTGGAATAAAAACCTAACAGTGTCCGAGGTCTTTCAGCTGTTCTGTCGGCATCCGAACTCGACACACATCGAGGTTTGAGAACGTGCTAATAAGGGCGGGTTTCCAGCCCTCTCTCCTGTGGCTCATTTACCACCTGTGCCCCACGGAGAAACACCTGTATGCTTTGATTTTCAGTAGGGTGTCCACAGAACATGTCGTCCAAACTGGTTCCTTTTGAGAATGAAGTGGTGTGCTGTTGAAAATTACGCCAGGACAGTGGGCCTGAAGCAGAGCATATGGTCACCTCGTTCTAAACAAAAATGCATGCCTGCGAGGGGAAGGGCGGGGCGGGGGGGGCAGTTGTTTATGAAGACTTTGGTGCAGAGTGGGTTGCTGGTGGATGAAGGGCCTTTGTTTCCAGCGATAACTTTGCATCATTTGGTGACTGCAAGAATGACCTGATACCTGTTTCTGTACCCTCCCACTCATTTTCTGTCCGTGGCTGAGCCTCCCAGGATGTGTGTCTGTGTCTTATTGTTTTCTTTCTTTTTCCTCCAGAGATCCTGCGGATAATTCAGCTGGACCTAGACCTGAAGTATAAGACCAACATCCGGGAATTGTTTGAGGAGTTTGACAGTTTCCTGCCGGACGCCATCATTGGCATAGCGAGAGAGATGCAGCCAGTGTACCGGTATGGGGCGGCCGTAGGGGGTGTGGCGTCCAGGACCCCCTCCGTCCCTCCTCTCTTTCCCCTGTCCTGCTTTATCGGTAGACACTCTTAAATCTCTTAATCGGCACTTAAATCTCTTAGACACACATTGGTGCTTATTGCATATAGTTAATAGTGTGGGCAGGTGGGTCTGCCCCAAAGCTGTAGATGCTGCCTCATTGTTTTGGGGGAGTTTGTAACATTTTTCTCATAGAAAGCTGAGCTGTTTTGGTTGGTTGGTTCTGGTTAAGATCAGGATTTTAAAATCTTGGGCTTTGCCTTACAGAGGAGGTATCAGGATATAGCTTGAATTGCCTTGTCTGACGATGAACTAGGCTTTCTTGGCCTCTGAGTCACCAGTGACCCCTCCTCTGTCTAAGCAGAACGGGTTTATCAGTGTCTCGTAAGGAGGGGAAGGCAGCACAGCTTTGGGGCACTGGTTGGGGTTACCTCATCGCCGTGAAGAACACATTCTGCGTGATGCCGTGCACTTCATTGTCAAGTGTGCGTCGTAGAGAAACCCCAGCATCTGAGAACCAGGACACATGTTCAAGAATGTTCCCTGCAGCATTGTATGCAGTAGCCAGAAACTGAGAATGACTTAAATGTCCATAGCTAGCAGAAGGGACAAATAAAACGTATTCATCCAACTGAGTACTATACAAAACCCAAAATGTGCAAGTGGTAGTAGCCACATGCACTGCTGGGCAAAGTTAACTGTAATCTGGAGGGATGCCCACCATGTGGCAAAAATTATAAGGAAAACCAAGGCAAAGATGATCCCCCAAGCCGGCCCGGTGTTCCCTCTGGAGGGCTGGGGGCCTGGCGGGGAGGACAACCTGGGTGCAGAGTGCCCCCGGAGTACCTCAGTGTGTTGTTAGCCCTCTGCACTCTCGTGTGTGTACTGTATGTCTTATGGTGGAAACAAAGGAAAGGAAGAGCAGAGGCACCTACAGTGTTTGTTAAAAACTAGAGCCATGGTTCTGGGTCCAGGGGCTTCCATGTTGCTGACTGATCCTCCTCCGGGTAGTGCCAGAGCTCACCCAGAACCGAGCTGCCTAGAGCTGGGATTTCACCATCTGCGGGGCTGGCGCGCTCTTCGTTGTCCCAGCAGACCCTCCCGCCGGCTCCCTGTGGACATCCTCAGAGCCAGGTCGTCTTTGGAAAGCTGCGGGGCACAGGCTGCTAGTGACCCAAGAGCCCGCGTTTCCCCTAAAAGAGCGGGGAAGAGTGACAGCTTGCTTGCTTGTGACTATTTGCAAGACGCAGATCACATAACAGGAAATTCCTGCGAGGCTTCTGAATGGGCTGATAACTCCTGGGCCTTGTGGGCTGTTTGCCCTGATGTCATCCTCTCCCAGCCTGTCTCCCAGTCACACGGCAGAGTCTCGCACTCTGCAGGGGGAACAGGAGCCGAGGGTTTGGGTCAACACTGGCCACTTCAACTCAGAGCAGCCTCCTCACCTCATTCCCTCACCTTTATACAAGGTGGATCTCGATTTAACACCTAGAGGCAATGGAAGGAGCACTGGACTGAGAGTCCAAAGCCCTACGTGCTAGTCCCTATGCTTGGGGCCTGGGTTCCTCCATCTGAGAATGGGGGCCGCTGTGCTGCAGGACCTCCCTCCCCCTCCCCCGGCACTGTGATCCCAGTTTCCTGCCGCTCACCGGCTCCTCATCGTCTTTCCTCTGTCCTGAGGCCGCTGGTCTGCAGCGGGGGCCCCTCACTGCTCCCTAAGGGCCAGGGTCCCCAGGATGCTCGCAGGCTCGTGATTAAATGCAGCCGGAGCAGTGGTGCCTTCAAGCCCTGCTCTGGAGTCTTCTTATGTAATAGAAATGGAAACGTGATCCCATTTAAATAGTATCCACCAGAATTTATGTTTTTGTACATCTAGGATTTTATTAACAGTGAAACGTAAATCAGTTTAATTATCTAGACTTCTCAAAAGAAATCTCTGAAAGATTTTAGATCCAAGGTGAAATTGAATTTTTCTCACCTTCAGAGTCTGTAATGATCATTATGTACAATGAGAAAAATGAGGCCTCTGTGGCTACCGGCCGAGTCCCAACCTGGCCTGTTTGTAGGGCTGGCACACTCACCATCAGAAACGAAAACCCCGTTATGTGCTCCCCCTTTCCGCTCCCAATCCCCCCCACCCCCCCCAGCTGAAATGTTTATAAAGCCTCTAATAATTAAGTCTGCAAATGACGGCCCTGCACTAATGTGTGCCCTACTGGCTCTGGGTAATTGCCTCTGAATATTTGCAGCCTCGTGCTGGGGCTGGGAATGGTTTGGTGCTGGCTGGGTCAGAGGGGGAATGGAGTGTGGGGTTTTTTGCTGTCTTCCGCTGGAAAACTGGAGACTCCAGTGGCTCAAAAGAAAAACTGTTGGTTGTCTGTGCCTTTGGAGCCTGCGCCTGGGTGTGTTTGTGGGGACGGGGTAGGAGAAGAAGGGGGGGAGTGGAAGGGTAGCGAGTAAGCAGCGTCCACACAAGGACGGCCAGAGCCAGGCCCTTCTCATGAGCAGGCAGCCCCAGCCCCACCGCCTTGAACCTGGCCATCACCACTGGTGGGGTATCCCCAGGCCAGCATCTGTCCACTCCTGTGCAGTCACTTCCTGCGCCCTCCGCCAGGAACAAGGAACCAGTGGGAGTTCCCACAACCGCATGGTCTCACTCCCTAAGTGGTGGAGTGTGAGGTGGGCAAGGTTTTTATCATAAGCAAAATCTGCTAGCATCTATGAAAAGGAAAATTTAGAAACAAAACAACAGCACAAAAGCAAAACCTGACTGATTAACTGAGCATATTTTGATCTGGAAATTCACTAAGCAGAAATAAATTTGAATCTCCTCAACTGTGTTATTTTTATAGTCCCTTGCCTGACAGTTACTGTACTTCAAAAGGGCACATATTAAGTCATTTTTATGGTTGTTTCCCCTCTATTGTGTGCCACGAAGAACATTAGGAGCTTGGAGAAGGGTGGAGGGAAAAGTATTTCTCACTATTCATTTGACAAATAGTCTTTTTTGGGTTTTTTGTTTGTTTTTTTTACAATTCTCCCCGCCATAATTCCACCCCCCACCCCAAATGAACACTAAACCCACTGTGCTTTCTGGGAAATGATGGATTGTAGGATGCTAGGGTAGTGATAGAGGTACCTTTTTCTATAGGCTCCCTGTTAAGATTCTGTTGAGTCAAATGTCCTGTGACCTTTCTCATCTGAAAATTGGGGAGCCATGGTCATTTTGGGTGGAACGGTCCTGTCTTGACCCTTTCTCTGCCTCTTTGTCAAGGAACTAGACCACTGGACAGGTAGGTCCTCATAGATGATGTGTTTAGTTGGGGTACGTGACCAAAAGGAGAGAAGGATCTAGTGCTTTCTCTGTAAGCAGAATGGTCTCTGTAAATAGAGTACTTTATTTTACACATATGTGTTAGTCCAGGATACCATTTTGAATTTGCTTCCTCATGAATGTATTGGAAAAGCAAAGAAAATGGTTGGGCCCTCTTTATGTACAGCCCTATAACATTATAGGTATGTATCAGCAGGCAGAGCAGCTTGATGCAGAAGAAATTGCATTTGAGTTGTACTCAGAAGCTATGGATTGTAGTCCTGCCTTTCATGAATTACCCGTATGATGTTTTGCAAGTCACTTGATTCTCTGACCTTCTGTTTTGTTTTGTCTTGTTTTTTAATCTGTAAGTGGGGATAAGTATATCTGAAGCACAGAATTACCGGAAAACTCAAATGAACAACGTGCATGAAAGCTTCCAGTGTGAAAGAGATGCTCAGTAAAGGGCACTTGCTCACTTTCCTCCCTAAATCCTCACAACTCTTTTTTGTGTTTTCTTTCAAGATGATTTGTTCTACTAGATACCTCTACTCTACCCCACCCCAACCATACAGGGTCACCAGTTAAAATACACAACACTCACTTAAGTTGGATTTCAGAAAAACAACAAATAATTGTTTTGTGTGTGTATGCTCCAAATATTGCATGGGACATACCTATACAAAACAATTATTTGCTGTTTATATGAAATTTAAGTTAACTGGGTGCCCTGTTTTTTGTTTGTTTGCTAAATCTGGTAGCTCTACCCCTACCCAAGAATTAAAACCTCTTTTTAACAGAAGGGGATGATCTGGCTTTTCTACAAAGTCCTCGGGGAGGCGGGAACAGAGCCTTATAAAGTGGGAACTTGTCAGGAAAACAGGGTGAGCGAGTGAGGGGATGGCAGGAGGCAGCTCTCAAAGTTTCTGTGAGGCACTAGGCCTGGGGTCACCACTCTGCAGGAATTAGAGTCCTGCTTGTGATTTGGGTCCTTTGGGGAGATCACTGGAGGTAGGAGGTCTGGCAGTGGCTTAGCTTTGGGCCACAGGGTTCCTGCTGAGCCTGGAATGAGTGTGTATGAGAGACAGAATGTGTGTGTGAGAGAGAATGTGTATGATAGAGAATGTGTATATGTGTGAGAAAGAGACCGACAAAATGTGTGTGTGTGTGTGTGTGTGTGTATGAGAGAGAGAGAATGCCTGTGTGAGAGAGAATGTGTATGATAATGTGTTTGTGAGAGAGACAGAGAGAATATGTGTGTGTGTGAGACAGAGAGTGTGTGTATGATAGAGAATGTGTGTGTGAGAGAATGAGTGTGTGTATGAGAGAGAGAGACAGAATGCATGTGTGAGAATGTGTGTGTGTGTGTGTGTGTGTGTGTGTGTGTGTGTGTGTGTGTGTGGAAGAGCTGGGATCACAGCCTTTGGTTATGGTCTTTCTGTCTTGGAGCTGGCCACCTGAGGAGCTCCTGAATGGGAGCTTTGTTGGTGGGGTCCACAGGCTTCCGGTTCATTCTCTGTTGGCTCCACAGGCCAGCTGTGTGCTGATTTGAGCCCAAACCCACCATGAGGTGGAAGCAGCAGGCTAATCCTGTCAGCTGCTGATAACACACCACAAGGCAGGAATTTGCTTTTGTGTTAAGTATTTTAA